CTGAAGCCGCCCGCCCTGGCGCTGAGCAGGGCCCGGCTGTGCCTGCCCTCGCAGCCCTGCCAGCCCTGCCTGCGGGTGCGCCTGGCCCTCCCTGCCGCAGGTACGGGCAGGGGTGGCTGGGCCGGGCACCCCTGGACTGGGGGGGAAAGGGAGGCGCTCGTCCTCCCACCCGTGTCAGCACCCCACGCTGGTTTCTCGCAGAGCTCGGTGGTGTCCGTGGGCTGCAGCTCAACTTCCTGGAGCTGGGTTCCAACCGGGCCGGCTGGCTGCAGGTGTGGCGACGGCACCGGGCGCCCGGCAGCTCGCTGGTGAGTCTGGGGTGCATCGTGGGGCCGGACGCCGGGGTGGCACATCCCGCTCATCCACTCCGTTCCCCGCAGTGGCAGGTGCGGTTCGACTGCTTCCCGGCGGAGAGCGGGCGGCAGGTCCTCGTCTCCCTCCGCACCATCCCTGACCGAGGCTTGGCCCTCAGCCGCAGCCGCCTGGTCGTTGCCGAGCCGCCTGGTGAGGCTGGGAGGGATCCCGGGGGGCGTCCGGAGGGACGCCGGCACCGGCTGACCCCCCCACCTCCTCCACAGGGCCCGTCTTCACCCACGCCTGGGTCCCCGAGGCGCGGGCCATCGAGGTGTGGGTGCCCGAGGGTCCTGCCCTGATGGTGCGGCTGTGCCACCAGTTGGCCCTGGAGTGTGAGGAGCTGCCCCGGCCCTTCCACCGGCAGGTAATGGCTCCGGTCGTCCCCTCCCTGGGCTGCCCGCCACGCTCCCCCCGCCAGCTGACGCTGCCTCTGTGCCCGCAGGTGCTGGTGCTGGGGGGCCGCCACATCTCCCTGCCGTACGAGTTCCTGGTGCCCTGCCTGTGCATCGAGGTGCGTCGCCCTCCCCTGCGGCCGCTGGGCCCTTCTCTCCTCCCGTGTGGGGTGGGGGCACATCCTGCCCTGACCGCCCCGCTCTGCTCCCCCAGGCCTCCTACCCCCACCACGACAGCCCGCGCAGCAAGCACTGCCCCTTCCGCGACCAGCCCGATGCCTGTGAGTGCCCATGGGGTGGGGAGCTTGGTCCCAGGGGTGCCCCCCAGCTGTCCCCCCAGCCCGCTGATGCGGTGTCCCACAGATGGCCCCGAGCTGTGGTCCTCGGTGCGCTTCCACGACTACAGCGCCAGCAGCAAGGACCAGATGGCGATGGTGCTGAGCGCCAGCTGCCCCCTGCACCCCCGGGCCACCCTGTGCTGGAGGGAGGTGGCGGCCGAGACTGCGCCCTGCCACGATGTCCCCAACTCCACGGCCAGTGAAGAGGAGCAGGTGAAGGGTCCCGGTCTCGGGGTACCACAGGGCGCCAGCCTGGAGTGCTGTGGGGCTGTGCCCCTGAATGGGGCACCCACCGGACCCCAAGGTCCCACAAGGGCGGCGGGTGGGCACTGGGATGCCCGTGGGCTGTGTGGGTCGGGGACGGTGACGTGCTCTGTGCCCATTCCAGGCATACACGCTGGACAAAGTGGATGTGCACCCCCAGCTCTGTTTCCGGGTAAGCCCCCGCGGGTGGGTGGATGCTGCCTAGGAAGGGGCTGGGGCGCAGCGATGGGTGATGGCAGTTCACCTAGCCCCTCCACTGATCCCCGTTCCCCCCAGTTCTCCTACGGGAACAGCAGCCACGTGGAGTGTCCCCACCGGCCAGGTGAGCCCCACAGGTGGGGGGCACCCCTGGGCTGACCACAGCCCTGCTGCAGGGTCCCTCGCACCCCTCATGCCCTCGGATGTCCCGCAAGCCCCCCCGCTCTCTCCACAGAGACCGCCTGGAATGTCTCGGTGAGCGTCCGCGGGCTGCAGCTGCACCTGCACCTCACCTCCAGCGTCCCTGCAGCCTTCAGCGCAGCCCTCTGCCAGCGCCATGGCAGACAGTGCGAGCCTGAGGCCCCCTTCTACACCGTCACACGGGTGAGTGTCACAGGCCTGGGGGGGACATGGTGGGGACCGACCCATGCTGACCTTGCCCTTGTGCTTTGCAGCCGGAGGGCTCTGCCCCAGGGGAGCTGGCGCTGCTGTTGCCGGTGCACGTCCTGGGCAGCTGTGTGCTGGTAAGGTGACCCCTGTGTCAGCACCCCCCCCGTGGGGGGGACACCCCACCCTGCCCCCCCCTCCCCCCGCCTCTTCCCCAGGTGTGGCGCTCAGATGTGCACTTCGCTCGGAAGCAGCTGCTCTGTCCCGACGGTGAGTGGGGGGTCC